ACAGAAAACACTGGGAGCTTCCAGCCATGCAAACACCCAGTAAATTGTTCTTTTTTTCCTTTGGGTGTAACTACAGCTAGCAATTCTCAGTTTGGTCAGGTGAGCACAGCTGCCCCTCCACACCAATCACCGCTGACCACAGCTTACAGGCCCATGTCTGTCACAAAAGCCCACTAGCGGCAGTCTGGCTCTTCTTACATCTGTATTCATGTGAAGTGCCTTTAGGCTCCCTTCATGCCTGTTTCATTTGCCAAATATGCTCCCAGTAAATGTCTTCCTCTGGCATCTTTTGTTCCGCATCATATAATTGTAGAGTTGGAAGGGGGCGCTGAGGGCCATCTAGTCCAGCCTCCTGCAATGCAGGAATCTAAATGACCATACGGTACTATTGTTTAAAGGTTTCACAACTCTTCGCTGAACCCCTAGCTGAGGGCTCAGGGTGCTGGTCTCAGCTCCACTTTGCAACCCTCAGGACCCATCTACGTATTGCATCCAGAAGACCTCATAGTGGTGAGCAGAAACTTCAGAGCAACAGGAATCTCCTCTCTGCCCTCCACATGCCTCCAACTCACACAGAAGAGATAAGTGAGAAAGTGGTCAGGGCCAATGACAAGAAGGCAATGCATGGGCATATTTGCGTTGTGTCTAGGGCAGTTGTAGGAATCTTGAGCAGCCTTGGGACCAGGTCGAGGAGGAGAAGAGTGGAGAGGGGTGGGGAAATTTCTTTGTCCCCCTGCCAGTAAAAATAACCTCTCAGAAGCTCCTATTTGCATTTCAAGAGAAGCCTCAGTTACCACCACTGGAGAGGCTTCCCTCCAAATGCAAATAGCAGCCTGTGAGAGGCAATTTTTACTGGCAGGAGGGCAGGGAGTTAAATTTTCCCACCTCACTCTCCACAGCTGCTCTATAACTAACAACAGGCATGAATAGAAATTGCATACAAGCAATTAACATCACAGCAACTTCGACCCTGAGTCTGCCTCTCGGCTGCAAATTATCCTACCCTTCTACTTGTCCATATCATCGAACCAAATTTAAAGGTCCTTGGGTTGATGGCATTATGGGGGCATTGCGGTAGATGAAGAGTACAGGCTTAAACCAGACAGAATAAAATCAGTCAGACCTGATCAGCCAGACAGTGCAAAGGATGTGTGGCTCTGTGGTTTGATCAGGCTAGGAGATAGGCACACACAGAAGCTTCTAGGGCTGCATGTGTCATTCCTCTCCTCTTGTTCGAACAGCCAGGGCTGCACCAGGTTCACAGACCTTGAAAGAGAGCACTCAGCTGTGCAAGAGGGCTTCCTCCACTTTCCCTGTCTCACCCCCCCTCCCTCGTTTCCTGCCAAGAAGTTGATGGGTGAAGCATCTGTGCACACAATCTCAGCTACTCCAAATGAACCTGCATGGGGTGCAGATTATCTATATGGGGGGATTCCAAAAGGAGGCAAAAAGGATCTCCTGGACTGGGTGGTGCAATTGGGTGTAATTTCAGACTATGGACTTGGTGGGGTTTTTTTCTTTTTTGGGGGGGGGGTCTTAATAGGGTGCTACTTCAAATGTGTTGAGCCAGCCTTGCTACATTTGAAGACCCTGCTTCTCATTCTGCTCTGCAGGCCCTGGATACCTGCCTCAAAACTCTGCCCTGAAGGCACCATGGTCTGGGGGAGGGGGGCAGGGAGGGTGTTGTCAAATATTTGAATACTCCCCTCTGGAAAATACTGTACAGTGGTACCTCAGGTTACATATGCTTCAGGTTACAGACTCCGCTAACCCAGAAATAGTACCTAGGGTTAAGAACTTTGCTTCAGGATGAGAACAGAAATCGTGCTCTGGCGGCACAGCAGCAGTGGGAGGCCCCATTAGCTAAAGTGGTGCTTCAGGTTAAGAACAGTTTCAGGTTAAGAACGGACCTCTGGAATGAACTAAGTACTTAACCCGAGGTACCACTGTATGTACATTAAAAGACTGGATGACACTGAAGCATACCCTGGCCTTGACACACTATGTGTGAGGAAGGGTCGCTGTTGGTTTTCTAACATGAGGAAGCAATGAAACGTGGTTTTCCCCAGCTGCAGTCTTCAGTGTTTACAGTCCTATGAATTCTGGGTAATGTACAGTTACTGTGGCATGAATCTGCACAATATATTATGACAGCAGAAGGGCTTCTTCTGAGCCAAGGTAAGACACTTAGGTGCTCGGCATTAATAAAACTGCAGCATTTCTTTGCAAATGAAGAGGACAGGGAGAGAACTGGACAAGTGGAGGCCACACAACTTGTATCCCAGCAGAGAAGCAATTGTGCCCCTTATGAACCAAAGGAAAACATTTTTCAGTTTAGGTGCTAACAATCTGTAAAACAGCAATGCTTAAGTGTCCACAATATCTTTGCAAGGGAGGGAGATGGGGAGCACACCAGAACTTGGCCATGCCCCTGACCTCTAGGTGGCAACACCCCATGACTTTGTAGCCCTACTAGATCCAATAAGCGCCAGCTGCAACTGGCTGTACCACACAGTTGTCCATTGTCTGAATGTGTACTTCAATGCATGGCTCTGGCAAATGACAGAGAGCTGGTAGAATCATCCAAGTGTTGAATTAGAAGGCACCCCAAGGGCCATCGAGTCCAACCCTGGGCAATGCAAGAAATCATTGCTCCTCATTTGACATGACCCACAAATACAAGCCTCTTCTAGCTGATTGCTCTCCGTCCTTGGGGATGGAAGCTCTTGAGAGCAAGAGGGGAAAGATTATATATGGAGAATTTCAGCTGAGATCTCCAGTTGCTTGACAAAGGCTCCTGTCACATTCATAACAGCATTGCAGCCACTTCTCTGCAACCAGATCAGATGCACGGTCTCTTACACACACCCAGTTGTTACATTTACTTGTGGCAGTTGCGGGAATATGACCCACGCAATTGGCCCCCTCCCACATGGTAAATGTATTCAGAAATCCACACTGCAGCCATGTGGGGAAGTGGCTTCTCAGCAGCCGCAGGTGGGAATGAAGGAAAGCCAGCAGCTCTTGGAAGCAAGTGCATTCATTCCAAATGTTGGCTCTGGAGGACACCCAGCCAAGGGACCTCGCCCTAGTTAGTCACCCTCTTTGCAGCAGCTACCACATGCTTCCTACACCTGCTCCTTTGGAAGGAGGGAGATGGCTGAGATGGCAAGGGTCAGTGATGGCAATGGCCAATGATGGCTTCAGCAGCATCCCAAGAGGCGGACATCAGGACCATAGATTCAGGCTGCCCAGCAAAAGATGAGGAAGAAAGGGGTATGAGGGCGTCAGCAAATCTTCCAGAATGTGGGTCTCCAAGGCAACAGCTCCGTTGTTTCTGAAGGGACCAGGAACAGTGTCATAGGGAATGGGGGTCCAAGGGCTTTTTGAAAGGTGGCTTATGCCTCGCTCCCATCCTGTTTCATTTCCTCTAGTGCAAGTGGCTGGTTTGGAGGCTAGATCTGGCTGTTGCCAGCTCGCTGTTTCGGTTTTCTTCGCACTTCCGCATAGATCACCCCAGCATCTGGTTCCACTTCCTTTTTGTTGAAACGAAGGCTGGCATAGGTCAACTCCTTCTGCCGGCTGGTTAAAGGAAGATGCTGTTAAGAGAGAGAGAGGGGACGGGGAACAGAAAGTTTGTTTCATTCTGTCTGTGGTGGTCTTGAAAGCATATTGTCTGCAGATGGCAAAAGAAGCTGCAGAAATAAATATATACATCGGGAGCTTTGGAGCAGGCGAGAGGGGAAATGGATACAGTAAGCAAACTTTTGACAACCTGGTGCCCTCTGGATGTTGTTGGACTGCAACATCTGGAAGGTACCAGGTTGGCAAAGGCTGCCCTTCTTCAAAGAAATAGAAAGAGAAAATTTCACCATCCTGGGGAGGCAGCACCACAACAGGTGTATCGCTGTTTTACTCCCCCTCTAATAGTGAATTCGTGTGATAAGTGCAAACAGAACTAGAATCAAAACCAGGCCACTAAGAAACAAGAGGGGATGGGAAAGGTATCAATCAGCATGTTTGGGGAAACCCAAGGTTTGCAGAAATACATTTCGGGGTAATTTATCAACACCCTAAGGGATCTCCCTTAGGTGATAGATAGATATAGATATAGATATAGAATAGATATAGATATAGATATAGATATAGATATAGATTTAAAAGACAACACAAATCACAGTCCAGTGATGACTAACCACAGTGGGTTTTTGGGGTTTTTTAAAAAATGAGTTGCCACTACTCATATCTTGATTAAAGTGCCATGGGTGACAACTTAAAATGACTGCCCTGGGCAGGGGGGGAAAGTGACAGTACTCCATAGCAGTGAGTAATGTCACCCAAAAAAACCCACTGACTAAAAATATTCAGTAGCTACAGAACACTGAATCTTAATTGAGAGAGAGAAATGAAAGGAGGGGGAATAGAAAGGTGAGTCTGAGGACAGCATGAATGGGCTGATGAGCTCTCTGCTGGAAGAAGGAGACCCAGCGGCCAGCCAGATGCCTGTGGGAAAACTGAAAGCAGGATTTGAGCAGTTTCCCCTTCTGCAGTTTCCAGCAACTGGTACACAGACCTTATTACCTCCAGCTCTGTAGGCAGCATAGGTGCCAACTCCCTGGGGCCTTGGGTGCCTGAGCACCCACAAAATTCAGTGCCAGGGCCAGTCATGCTGCATGTCACCCATGGCTCTGGGAACCCATGGTTGTGGGGCCAAGTTGGCACTCCTGGTAGGCAGAGCAGTTATCATGGCTAGTAGTTGTTGATAGCCATCTTTGTGGGAAATTAGTAGCCAAATCTAACAATGCATAATCTTGCTAGTTAGCATGTAAAGGGATTAAGACCACAGAGCTGTACTGCTGATAGGCAGACCCAGGCCATAAAAATGTAATTGGTAGAGAGGGCTCAGTGTGATGTCATTTCCCTGCCTCTCTTGAGTAGGAAGGAGCATAGAGTATTTCCTGTTCCTTTCTTTCTCTCCCTCCTTTTCTCTTTGACCAGCAATGGAAGCAGATGGATATCCAATTGCTCCGGTTGAGGCACATGCATGAGGCTGCTTTTACTGTAAATTCAGTCTTTTGCCTGCATTTATTTTACTGCTGTTGCTGCTGAGAACAAATGTGTGACTAAGAGTGAGTAACTCATATTTTAAACTTACTTCTCAGTCTGTTTTCTGATTCTTTGCTAAGTGGAGTAAGAAAGGGGTGCCAGCTTATTTTGCAGCTGAATTTCAATAAAAGAAGGCTTCACAGCCTAATTCCTATGCTTCATTTTTCTTCTTCTATGGATGGGGCTGCATTTTAAACAAAGCAGTAAGCTGATCTCTTTGTATTTCCAACCCACCCATTGAGCACCTAAATTGCAATTATTATGTCTTCTCCTACCTATTTAAACCATCCAGAGTTCCAGAGTTTAGCTATCTCCCAGTTGGGAAGTGATAGGATGGTAGGGAAATGCAGGAGTAAATAAAGATGAGCAGGGGTGAAACAGACTTGTCCGGGAGTGGGATGAACCCATTCTATTCCAACCAAACTCTAGAGTGAATAGCAACATGTGGAAAAGATCCTATGATCCCTTTTAGGGATGTTAGGCTGCCCTGCACAAGAAAGTGACGCCTAGTGCTCCCCACTGTGAACAGAAGGCCATTTGGGCAGACAAGATGACACTCAGGGTGGACCAGAGTGGACATCCCAATGCACCAGATACCTCAGAGCAGATGCGGGGAGAAGCCTAGAGTGGCCCAGGCAAAGCCTAGCACAGCCTGGGAATTTATAGGAGCAGGATGTGTGTGTTCATTAGGTAACAATAATCCCTCTTACCGTTCCTGCTTCTTTGGTTGCAGCAGCTTCTGTCTCTGTTGTGCTTTCTGGAATGGAATGATGAAGAGAAATTTGAAAGTGGTTATGTTTGAATAAGCATTAAAGAATCCCAAGAATGAATGAGTCAAGAACACATGTGATTGATGACACATTCCACAGAAATTCCTTTTTAACCATCCTGGGTGGAGATGGGCACTAATTTGCATTTCTGAGACTTTCTGGGGGGACGCAGGGGGACGCATACCCCTAAATATTTTGTGAATCTAAGTTTGGCTACTGTCCTTCATCATAAGATCTCAGGGCAGTTTACTCGATGAAGGACTCTATCTGTGGAACATTGTAACTTATGATCATTTTTTTCCCCTCCTCCCAAGCTATCCCTTTTTTGTGTTGTGTCTTTTAGAATGTAGGTCTAAAGGCAGGGGCAGTCTTATTTCTGATCTTTGTAAGCTGGTCTGGGAGGCTAGTTTTGGCTGAAGAGCAGGTTGGAAATGTTCTAGGTATATAAATGAATAACAAAATACACATACTTCAAATCTTTAAAAGTGGGAGACTCATATAAATAATTTTTACCTCATATAAATAATTTTAAATACTGTTTTCTCTAATATATGCATTTGGGGGCACCTTACTTGGTTGGGTGACAACATTGCACATTTCAGAGAAGCACGAATTTGGAAGGATGGTTGTATTTCAAATCAGAGATTGTTTCCAAAAATGTGAATTCAGAAAGTTTGCATCAAATCAAATGAACTGAATTGCAGTTCTTTCCTATCACAGTTTGCAACACCTCCCTGGCATGCCCAGGGAAGCATTTGCAAATGCACATTGTGTGAGCTAATCCGTTTACCTCCCATATGACCTCTCCAAGGTGCTGTCAGGGGAGAGAGCCTTACCTTTAGCCCTCTTCTTGTATCTCCATGCTAAGACACTGAGCAGCAACAAGAGGAGGAGGATTCCTGCTGCACCTCCGGCTCCAGCTCCAATTCCGGCTCCAATTCCAGCTCCAGGACTTCCACTGTCAGTTTCTGGCTGCTTGTCACGTTCTGGTTTAAGAGGAACAGGAAAAGGAAGACCCCCTTGGTGGTCTGTGGAATGAAACAGGCAGGCAAGATTCTGCTGCTGCACAGGGCTTCATTTGAGGGTATGGCTGACACCCCAAACTTTTGCTCATGCCCAGGTTCCAATTTCAAGAAAATTAGCATGGATATAGGACCAGTGGGTAGTGAATCATCAAGTCGTTTTGATAACTGGTCATTAAGTTGTTTTGTATTTTATGGCTTTGCTAGCCACTTTGAGACTTGTGGGAAATGATGGGGGTTTTATACCTAGAAAGTGGAAGTGGGAGCAGTGGAGACACATTCACTGTCCCTCAGTCTTTCAAAACATCCATCAACTCATCAGCGATAACAGAGCTGAGTCCCCAGAAACAGCTATTTATTTGTTATGTATGAAACTGAAAATAGAACTTGCAACCTGCTGAGAAATGTTCTCTGCTCCCCCACAACAGTGGGGACTTTGAGCAAGAAGGGGGAGGGCAGAGGATGGAGCAATTGGAAGCTCTTAACATCTGGTTTGGGTCAAAAGTGACCCAGAATTTCTATCTTTCTACAACTGGAAAATTTTCTTTTCATTTTCTTTTATACCCCTGTACACTTCACACCTATCAGTTCCAAACACCTTTGCATCTCATTCCCTGTAGAAAGGAAATCAGGGGGGGGAAATGATTCTGTTTACCAGAGATTGTCACCATGGTCCCATTTCCTCGGCCATTACTACCGACAGCACATCGGTACATTCCAGAGTCATTCCTTTGGACACTGGGCAGAATGAGAGAAGCCAGGCCTGTGGTTGCGCTCAGAGTCCTGCCTGCACCTGTCACCTCCTCCTCATGTCCATCAGTGCCATTTTTATACCAGGTGACACTGTACGGGAGGAGTCGCACATTCTTGGCAACTGCAATGCTACAGTTTATAATGAGTGTTTGCCCTTCCATTCCTTGGATGAAAGCAGGTGACTGGATAACTGACAGATTAGCCGCTGTGGAAAGAGCAGAAAAAGCATTTGACAACTTCAGTGTGCAACCTTCAAATTGCCAGAGGAGATAAAGTCTGCATCTGTGAGACTGGGCAAATAATGCCAGATTTTGTGGCTTTGAGTTAAATACGCAGCCATGGAACTTGTGCATGAACGATTGACTTCTTTGAAGTTTGCGTTCTTGGCTTTTCTCTGGATCTTTGTTAGGCTGAGTACTGAGGGTGCCAAATGGCTTTAGGAGCGGCTGTGAATGCAGCCTTCAGTGTGGGACAGGGAACAGCCCTCCAGTTGTTTAGGACTACAATTTCCATCATCCCCAGCTAGCACGGCTGCATAGCGTTGGAGCTGATGGGAGTACAGTTGCGCAGGCTGGGGTTCCGGAGAGTTGTAGTCCAAAACATAATGGAGGTCAGCAGGTAGACAAATGGAGAATGAACCTGTTTGGAGTGCTGTTGCTGAAGTCTGAAGCTACATGAGGCAGACAGAGAGAGATTCAGATCTGTTTCATCACAACTGAATGCAAACCACATTTGCACTTCCCCCAAATATATACAAACCCAAATGCAGCTACATGTTGAAATTCACACGACCCCAAATTTGGCAAAGCAGTGCTCTAGCGATATAGTGTCTACAAAAATGTGAACATTAAGGGGGAAGTGTATACAAAGATTCATATATGTGTGAAAATAGAATACAAAAACTCATTAGGATAAATTGGCACTAAAATGCTGACAATTTTCGTGAGGACTTTAAAAAAAAAAGGAAACTTGTGTGAAGATGTGATGAACTGAACTAAAGACTGAAAAAATGAGACACCGAAAGAAACTGAAATTGAGGGATCCTCCTGGCTTTAGCACAGAGCAGAGGATTTGATGGCCTGTGGTGGGCCAAGGAAGATCCAGTCTGTGCCTGATGACTGAGAAGTGTCAGCCTGCCAAACATAGGGTGGAGCTAAAAGCAAACACTCTATGGTCCACATGCTGCATTTAAAGCACATGGGTGTCCACCGCCACCCCCAGAACCTTGGGAAGTGTAGTTTGTTAAGGGTGCTGGGAATTGTAGTTGTGCAAGGGGTAAACTACAATTTCCATTATTCTTTGGGGAAAGTCATGTGCTTTAAATGCACAGTGTGGCTGTGACCTATATGCTTCCCCCTTAAATCTGGACATTTACCCTGTGATTTTAATTTTTTTCCCAGGAGACCATGTGAAAGGGATTGAATGACTGAAAAATTGTGTCAGCTTCTGACAGCTCAGGCTGTAAAAGGTTTCCTACCTCTGCATTATGGAGCAGAAATACAGACTTGGGTCTTGGAGGGACCTCCAAGGACCTCTGAGATACTTCAAATGGAGAGTTACTATCCTCTGGGGTGCATTCCTATAACCTTCTCTGCTCATTGCTTAATAACCAGATAGAAAGTTCCCAGCACTTACTTGTGATGACAACATGAGATGCAATTCCTGATGATTTTGTTTGATTTCTTGGTTCTCTCCCAACGTTACAGACGTACAACCCTGAATCGCTCACAGTAGCATTTGTGAGGGTGAGAGAAGCAAATCCTGCTCTCAGGTTCTGAGTGATCCTGTACGAGCCTGTCTTGTTAGCCTGCTCAACCGCAAGCCCATCTTTGTCCCAACTGACATACATGCTGCTGTTCCTGCCGACTGTCCTGAAGCGACACTCGATGGTGACATCCGCCCCTTCCACTTCATGGATGGGTCCAGAAGTCTGGTTCACCTCAAAGTCGGTAATTTCTGCATGAAAGAGATGTCATAATCTAGACCCCTACTGAAAGCATTGGACACTGAGAAGGTAGCTAGAGTGGAAGAAGAGGGATTGACGCATTCAGAAAAAGCACCTTGGACAGTCCTAGGACTGGACTGCTTTGAGGAAGAGATGGAGATCTCTCTCTCTCTCTCTCTCTCTCTCTCTCTCTCTCTCTCTCTCTGTGTGTGTGTGTGTGTGTGTGTGTGTTTAATTAATTATCTTTTAAATTAAGCTAAAACAACTATGTACAGTCAGAGAATCATCTCTGGATACTCCAAAGAACTCTGCCAAAGTATATATGCTAAAATCATCACAATCTTAACAAACACAACATTATACATAATAACCTCCATTGCTTGGATTATTGCCCACAATTAAAAAGATATATTGCATCAGCAGCAGTCCTAGTCTGCAGAGTTTATATACAAAGGCAGGAGGGGAAAATGAAAATAAAATATGTGCTTCAAAAATGCCAAACTGTGCTGTAGACCATAGGCACCGTTCTGCTATATGTATCATTGTTTGTATGATCCATAAAGTTGCCTCAGATTGCATAAAAGTTATCATAGTTCCTCTAACCTCTTGCTGTCTTCAATTTCCATGTCAGTTTTTTCAATAATGCTACGTGCCAGATTGCACTATACCGCTGGTCCATGGTCAATAATTGCAATGATTTCCATGCCCTGGCAATGGCCGTTCTTGCTGTGGTTAACAGAGGAGTTATGAGTTCTTTGTTCCAAATTCATGGCGTAACCTGACAGGTTAAGCAGAGCCTGTCCTGGGGTCATGGGTACTATCTGACTTGTGATCAAAGATATCTCTGTAAAAACATTTCCCCAGAACTTTTCAATTTTTGGGCATGCTCACCACATGTGTCATTATGTCCTTATAGTGGGACACCCTCTCCAGCATATGGGAGAACTGGTTTATAAAGGCGAGTCAGCTAGGTGTTAAGTACCAACCATGTATGGTTTTAATGGATCTTTCTCTGTTTGTTGCTAATATAGATTTAGGTGTCTATGTTTTTGTGTGCTCTGCAACATAAGAGAGGCAATGGGAGAAAAGGGGCCTCTGCATCAGCTCTGCTGAAAACTGGCAACTTTTGACTGCTTTTCTCATTTTAAATAATCACAGTAAACAAGTTTATGGACCACAGTGCAGCACAAAATGATCAAAGCAGTGAGCACAGCAAAAACAGGATAAAACACAGGCATACGAGCTCTAAGAAAAATAAAATGAATTGATGAGAATGGGTATCAGATGAGTGAAAGTGTGGCAAGGCTGTGGCTCTGACCTTACCCCACACTTTGTGTCAGAAGACTTTTTACTCACATGGCACCCCCTCAAATGTAATGTGTGAAGGACGCTTTCATTTTGCACATTTCAGAAGAAAAATGGACCCCATGGATCAGTTACTGGAATATCCACGGTGCTCCCATTAGACTAGAGAGGCACTGATTTTTATCTAAACTATTGTCTTACTTTGGAAAGCTAATGTGGGTTTTCTGAAAAGTGTTGAGCAACCCCCACAAACATTCTCCAATCCACAAACTATACAAGTGTTAAAGGACTGAAGCTACCCTGTTAAAACAGATTTTGGAAAGAATTCAAGTATTTACCAATGATGGTCACATTTGTCCCAGTATTGAGATGTTGAAAATTCTCATCGATGACGTTACACAGATAAGTTCCAGTATCCTTCAAATCCACAGATTTCAAAGTCAAATTACTTAATTTGTCTTTTAGATGTGTAAATATGTGAACTAGGCTTGAGTTAAGCAATTCCACCTGTTCATTGCCTTTAACTTTATACCATTTAATAGACCATTTGGTGCTGGGTCCATTGAACCTGCACTGCATATTCACTGTTGATCCTTCCTCCACAGTCACATTGGCAGGTGTTTGAATCACTGAAGAATCTGGAACAGCATTCATAATAGACCCTAAAATGGCAAGGAGAAAAACGGTGTAACAATATGAAAGATTAACCTAAAAGCACAATATCTGTCATTGAGCCACAAACTTCCCAATGCAATTGCATCCTGAAAATTGCATGCATGCAGCTGCAAAGTGCATGTATGCATTCTGCATATCTGCAAGGAACACAAGTCTGTCTCTCTCCTGAGACATGTTCCCCTCTGCTTTGATCTTCTTGTAACAGCACATGGTTGGGCTAAATTTAAAATTTAAAATTGCAAACAGTTAAAACAAAATACCATCACAGGAATAGGGCGGTTCCTGAAATACACCTTCCAACTCTATGAGCCTATGAATACTGGAAATGGGCTGCTGAGGGGAAGGTCCTTAAAGTAATGGAAAGCGGCAAGATAAGGTAGGAGACAAATGAGAGGTCCCTACTTTCCACATTAGGTGTCACTAATGGAATCTGTCCAGTAGTGATGTATGGAAGTGAGAGTTGGACCATAAAGAAGGCTGATCGCCGAAGAATAGATGCTCTTGAAATATGGTGCTGGAGAAGACTCTTGAGAGTCCCATGGACTGCAAGAAGATAAAATGCATCCATTCTTAAGGAAATCAGCCCTGAGTGCTCACTGGAAGGACAGATCGTGAAGCTGAGGCTCCAGTACTTTGGCTACCTCATGAGAAGAGAAGACTCCCTGGAGAAGACACTGATGCTGGGAAAGATGGAGGGCACAAGGAGAAGGGGGCGACAGAGGACGAGATGGTTGGATAGTGTTTTCGAGGTTACCAGCATGAGTTATAGCTGCCTTGGCTAGGCTCATTAGCCACAATGGCATGTTTTTGGACGCTATATGCATTTAAGCTCAGCTTCTATAATTCTAGTTTGAAATAACCTCCAACCACCCTGAAGAGACCTGACTTTTCCAACTCCCTCTCAACTCCCTTCTAATGAATTCCTTGAAATTTGTTGAGATTTTTCAGCATTTGCTCTTGTGAAATAAACATGACCTTGCTGAACTTCCTGAGGAACCTGCCACATGCAGAATTGGTTAACATGAAGAGAACTGTGGCCACTGGTCCCGAAATGTCAAAACGACTTACAACTTTCACAGGATCCTGGACACTGCTCAAGATTAGGTACATTTTTTGTGTGGGTCCCCCCCCCCCACTGGGGAGATACCACAGAGGGGAGAGTTTGGTTTATTGGATCTGGCTTGTGACAAAGAGCTTGTTACAGGCACACATGACAGGAATGAAGAAGAATGGACAAAGGGCAGGCTGATCAACTTTCAACATAAAACAGGACAGGGGATTAGGTACAAAGTTGTACCTGATTAAGAAGAATGGGCAGAATTAAGAAGAATGGGGTGGGCAGAATGTCCTTGGCCAATCACTGTCTGGTTTGCAGTACAATGGAAATGATTCCCATCCAGTCATTTGCTGAGCATTCAGCTCTATGGATGAACACAGTGTGTGGAGCCAGATATACTGGCCTCGGTCCAGTATATCTGAAGGAGCTTCTCCACCCCCATTGTTCTGCCCGGACACTGAGGTCCAGCTCTGAGGGCCTTCTGGTGGTTCCCTCACTGCGAGAAGCCAAGTTACAGGGAACCAGGCAGAGGGCCTTCTCGGTAGTGGCACCCTCCCTGTGGAACGCCCTCCCATCAGATGTCAAAGAGAACAACAACTACCAGACTTTTAGAAGACATCTGAAGGCAGCCCTGTTTAGGGAAGCTTTTAACGTTTGATGTATTACAGTATTTTAATATTTTTTTGGAAGCCGCCCAGAGTGGCTGGGGAAGCCCAGCCAGATGGGCGGAGGATAAATAATAAATTATTATTATTATGTTCAAAAAATCTGTCATTACTATGCATATGACTGTCCCCCCCCCCTATTTTCTTCTATTATCTATTTATGTAAAATATTTATTAACCCTGCCCCCTCCCCCAGCTCCCTTCACTAAAAACTCAGGTCAGTGAACAAAAGTGTCAGAGGCACCAACTTGCGCCGAAGATTCTCCATCTCCTTCATTTTGTAGGCTTGCTTAACAGCCCAGGCCACACTGTCCTGGGCAGCTGGAGCTCTGGAAAGTCCTCCTCCAGAGGCTGCACAGGACAAATGGGCTGGTTTCTGCTATGCCAAGAAGGCATTCTTTCCAATTGCTTATGGACTCCTCTAGAATCATTCCAAAATGTTGCCCACACATTCTGTGTGGGGAAATGTCTCTCGGAAAAAGAAGCTTGCCCACATGCAATAAAAACTGTCTTGTGTACTTTGGTACTGCTGTTTCTACTACTAATATCACAAATGGCAGTAAGTTTTTGACCTGCTAGAGCAGCCTTTCCCAACCTTGGGTCCCCAAGGGCTGTTGGACTACAACTCCCATCATCCATAGCTAGCAGGAGAAGCAGTCAGGGATGGTGAGAGCAGTAGTCCAACAACTTCTGGGAACCCAAGGATGGAAACGGCTGAGCTAGAGACTCTCATGGCCTACACCATATCTGTCTCCCTACCTGTCTATCTATTTTATTCCATTTCCTCCAAGGACCTCAAGGCAGCATAGCCAGTTCTCCCTTACAAACATGTAAGGCTGTCAGGCAGCGACAGGCCTAAGGTGAGTCCTGGTGGGCTTCATGACCAAGTGGTGATTAAAACTCTGGTCTCCCAGGTTCTAGCCCGACATTTTAATCACTACACCACCCTGACTCTAATCTATCAAGCTATCTATCTAAGAAGTCTTGTACCTGGCATTGCCAACAACACAGGAGTCACTGTAGCACCATTTTTTCATGCGTCACCAAGGCAATGTGAATATCCACTCTGCAAGCCAGGTGGCAGAGAATGGGGAGGTGGTCTGAACTCAGCCTGTCCCCTTTCAGATTGTAGGGACAGGAAT